TGCTCGTCCGGTGGGCACCACTTGCAGAGGAGGAATCAGTTACCCACGGGTGATGCTGTGCCCGGTGTCACCCACTGCCACCAGCCCTTCAGGCAAGGTGGTCCCGGCAGCAGGATCTCTAGCGCAGACGAGGCCTGGCTGGTTTTACGCTCACATGCTGTGGTTTGCTCTGGGCAGGGTTATTTGGCGCAGCAGTTCAAAGCAGCCGTGCCCATCCCCGGGGAGCTGTGGGGAAGGATGCTCTGGGAGAGGCGCTGGGCGGTGGCGGCAGAGACGCTGCCAGACGGGCTCGGGCGCTCCCTGCTTTGCTGTGCGCGGCGCCGAGCTCTCACCCGGTTCCTTCCGCACGGCAGTGCTGCTGGTGGGATGCGGGGCTGCTGGTGAGCTCGGGCTGCTCCGCTGGCAGTGCAGAACTGCTTAAGTGCAGGTACAGAGGGAGAGAGACAGTGCAGAAGGAGGAGAGGTCGGATAGGAAGGCGTTTGCCAACCAGATGTGGCACAGAGGGCACCCAGCTGCGTGTGAATCCATCTGGGAAAGAAATCTCCGTGCAGGTCTCGGGGCAGGTAACCCCGCACAGGTGAGAGCTTCAGCTGCAAGAGCAGCATGAGCAGGTTGTCACCCCCGTGGGGCAAGGTCTGCCCTGGGCCTCCCAGAGAGGCAGGTGAGGAGGGCAGAGCCTCTACCTGCCAGTGAGCTCCACTCTGCTCTGAGTTACTACGTGTTGTGCCATGGCTTCATGGCAAGTGGTGTGTGCAAGGGGTCAGGCTGCCTGTGATACGCATCCCATGCCTCTAAAGGGCAATGGGCTCTTCAGCTTTAATCTGGGTAGGGACCTGTTTGCAGAGAGGGGTGAGTAACAGCCCAGGAATTTCGATGAGCTGGCAAAACTCATTTGGCTGATTGCCTTCTCCTGTTTGTGCTGCGGGTCTGGCCAGCCCAGCATTCTGCATCCAGCAGATCATCTCTTGTGCATGTCAAAGAAAGCCCTTCCTCTCTGTGCTGTGTGTACCCTCTTGCTGTCTTCGCCGTATCACGAAGCAGAAGAAAATTAATCTAGAGACTATTTAGGAGCACCGTTGGTACTGTAGAGAGCTGTGCTTGACTGCAGGGGGATGAGACGGGACCTGTTGCTGTTGGGGATTTGGCTGCAGAGCTTGCTGTGTCTCGCTGGGAGTTGAGGGAGCCTGGCTCCGGTGCAGGGGGGGTGTTCTGCTCGCTCTGGCGAGTGTGTCTTGGATGCTTAGGTGCTGCGTCGATTCTTGCCAGGCTTTTGTGTGAAACCAGCTGAATTGGTGTTTCAAAGGCACAAGCGAACGGCTGCATGGGGTACTCCTGTGTGTGCTTCCCTGTTATATAGCCACAGGGAAGCCTTCTGAGGGGAGATTGGTGTATTTTGGGGCTGCCTTGGTGTGCTGTCCACTTTGAACATGCAGATCAACAGACTGAAACACCTTTTTCATATCAGAAAAATGTAAAGGCTCTGAAGATGGAATCCTATCATAGGCTGGTAGGAAGCAAGTCTTAAAAAGATGCGTGAGTGAGGCTTTGCTCAGATCTAGGGCCAGAGTTGGGTGCCCTAATAACAGAGGAGTTTGCTTGGGGTGGGGGGCTGTGAGGATAACAGCCTGTGCTCCCACACTGGTGGGATTTGCCAGACGGCGAGGTGAAGGTCTGCCTCCCTGTCCAACTTTCCTCGTTCCCTAGGGACTGTCACTAGCCCATCTGTTGCCCTGACTCTTGCCCTTGGAGGAAGCCAGTCATGGGGGAAACGGGCAAAGAAGAGTACAAAATACAGTCATTCGACAGCGAGACTCAGAAGCTGCTAAAAACAGCCCTCAAAGGTCAGCAGGCTTCTTAGTAGCTCCTCTGCCACATGCAGCTTGGCTTGTAGATGAGGCTGGATGCTTGGACCCCTTTAAAGAACACCAATTGCTAAGTGCAGAAAAGCTGTTTCATAAACGCTCTTCATCCGTGACTGGGTGCCACTGGTAAATCTTCCCTGGCAAGGTCTTTGCTCCCTGCATCTTCCTGTCCCCTCTCACCTTCTCCCCAGTGTTTAATGGTGCAGCTGTTCAAACTCGGCTCCTGGTTCTCATCCTTGTGGTTTTCCCTGATTTCAGAGTACCCTCCTCTCCTGCTCTAACCCAGCATCTCTCCGCAGATTTGGTCTCTCACTCATTTCCAGTGCCTGGTTCCTGCTCTCTGCCCCTCCCCACTTCGGGGCCCGTCTCATCCTCCCGGCCTCTGGGGTCTCCTGCTCACCAGTCACGTCTCTATTGAAAGCCCAGCAGAAGTTTGCACATCTGCCTCCCACTAACCCAACTTCGAAGCAGTGCTGGGATTTCAGATTCAAATCAACTTCTTGGTTCACCATACTACCTGCTTTCCTCCATCGCTTTCCCATCGTGATGACTGTGTCCTTCAGCCTGGGAGGACCATGCACTATTGGAGATGGTATCTCCAAAGTAGCTGGTGTGCAAGAGGAGCTGTGACTCTTGATTGTGGGAGCAAGCATGAGGTTTTGCACCATATAACATGGTTGTACCAGGCCCTGTGCTGACCTTGGTTGCTTTCCAGGTATCCCAAAGCAAGCAGGGCACAAAGGGTGCTGGGTCCTGACAGTGTTTCTCCTCTCTGCAGACCCCAGCAACGTGGACCTGGAGAAAGTAGCCAATATTATAGTGGACCAGTCCCTCAAAGACTGTGTGTTCAGCAAGGAGGCAGGGCGCATCTGCTACACCATCATCCAGGTGAGAGCTCTTCGTGTCTGAGCAGCAAAACACATAAGCTGTGCGGGTTGTCCCTAGGCTGGGCCAGGAGAGGCTTCACCCCAGCCCTGTGCTCTGGCCCCTCAGCCGGCTTTCCTCTTCTACCACTTGCCGTGTGCAGTGGCAGCATCCAGATGAGCAGCCCGCGAGCACAGGCAGTTAGTTGCAGCTTTCCTGCCTCTCTGGGCTATCATAGGAGGTATCTGCATGGTCCTGCATCACCCAAGTAGCAGCATCTCCCTGCCCCTCTCACACCCCCGTTTCATCCCTGCGTCCTGCTTTTGTGGGCTTGTAGGCAGAGAGCAAACAAGTCGGCCAGAGCATCTTCCGGAGGAGCCTGCTGACCCGGCTACAGCAGGAGTACAAGGACAGGGAGGAGCTGCGCACCCGGTCGCTCCAGGCATGGATCTGCTACGTCACCTTCATCTGCAACATCTTCGACTACCTGAGGGTAAGGAGCTGGAGAAGGAGCACCCAGCTGCTGCTGCCTAGGGGTGCCAGAAGGGCCTGGGCATCCAAAGATGCCAGGGCAGGGGTGTTGGGTGGGTGTTGTATGGAGCCCCGTGGCTCAGCAGTGAGGGCCAGAGCTGCTTCTCAGCACAAGGATGCTGCTGGGGCTGGTGCTACCTACAGGCAAGCGAACAGGCTTGGAGAGGCAGAGCTGTCTCTGGGAACAGTCACAAAGCCTGAGCTTCCTCACTTTGCTCCTGGTGTTTGAAATCCCCTGATTTGCCTGCTCCCAAATGTCCCAGATTGAACTAGTTTAGTTGCTGTGAGATCCCGGGGGGGACTCATGGGTGCTCACATAATTTCTAGCCCAGGTACTGACGGCGTTTGTCTGCAGGCCTTCGCTGCAGTGTGTGTACTTGGATGCCTGCTTGGAGTAGATGTAAAAATGATGCAAGTAGAGCTGCAGGCAGGAAAAATGCTGTTGCAACACGTGTATTTCCCATGACTACCTGCTTACATTTAAAAATAGATGTTTTTTACATCATTTGTTCAGCTTCTCTGGCTCCTGGAGACTCGAACATCTGGTCTCCTATGTAAATCCCACCAATACAGTATTTGGCAGCACAACTAACTTCGGCTCCCTTCTCCTTTGAAGAGCAGCAAGGGAATAACTATTTAAAATAGCTGCAGACTCCTGCCTTTCTGGCCCCAAGCTGATGACGACTCCTGCCTCCTTACAGGTGAACAACATGCCCATGATGGCTCTGGTGAACCCCGTTTATGACTGTCTGTTCCGGCTGGCACAGCCCGACAGCCTGCGGAAGGAGGAAGAGGTGAGTGCAGGGAAGAGGGCTGCTAATGTGCCCGTTGTCCTGGCAGGGACCAGCAAAAAGCACAGCCCAGGGGGATGCCGTCTCTGCAGCCTGGTGCACAGGAGGGAGAGCTGCCTCCCCGGTATGTGCAGAAGGAGACCTGCTGGGCAGGAGGGTTTGCAGCCCAGAAGGAAGCAGGATGGAGGTGCAGGTTGTGACTCCCTGGCCCAGGCTGCCTATCGTCCCTCAGGGCAGCTTTTCTCATTGCCCAAGTGTGGTCACTGGAGACCCAGCAGCCCAGCCATCCTTGAAGCAGGGTCTGTCTCTGGAGTTACGCAGATTCACCTCCCATCATGTGAGAAAAATGCAGACCATGGCTCTCCCCCGTTTTCACAGGAACCAGCTGCTTTTCCAGCAGCCCTGGTTGCTGGACATCTGGAAAAGCAGCTGTCACACTCACCTGCTGAGGCACCGCAGCCATGGGAGGTGACAGCAGATAGCTGCAGTGACCGTAGGTGTGCAGAGCGGCTCTGTGTCCCCACACGTCCCGGGACGTGCTGTGCAATGCTTTGTGTAGCTGCTGCTCACCTGCCTGGGCCTGCGGCGTTGATGCTGTGCCAGACTGCAGTGGGCTGGAGAAGGCTCTTCTGGAGCTGGAGCTTCGCACAGGTCTGGGTGTGCGGCAACCTGCATGGGGCATGGCTGAGTCACCCCTCAGGTGAGGGGTTCCTGTAAAATGTAGGGCCCTTGGATGGGCCCTTTGGGTTTTTCTCAATCTTAGCACAACCCTCTCACCCCTGCAGCTGATTGACTACAGGGTCAATCTCTCTCTTCTCCAAAGACTGAGTTAGTGCCCCCGTTTCCTGCAAATCACTGGACTTTCTAAGAGCTTTAGCGCATGTTCCAGCCACTTCCCTCTGTTCTTGGAGGCACCTCCTTACTCCAGCCTCGGCTTCAGCCTTGCCATCTCCTTGTGGACATCCTCCAGAAAATTAACGTTTTTCCACCTGTTGTGGGTGCCAGAGAAATCTCTGGCAATTTTGTCTGAGAGGCAGGAGAGTTCAGGATATGCTTTTCCAGCACTTTTACTAGAACAGACTAGAACAGATTCAGCCTCTCCTGGATCACAGCGACTTGGGAGAAGCAGAACTGTCACCTGTTGGAAATCCAGAACAGAGGGAACAGGATGAGTTGGTCCATAAGCAACTGATGGGGACCTCCACAGAGACGTGCCAAACCTCCCCATTCCTTTGTACTCAGCCATCTCCTCTTCCTTCTGAAGGTGGACTGCCTGGTCCTACAGCTCCATCGCATCGGCGAGCAGCTGGAGAAGATGAACTCCCAGCGGATGGATGAGCTCTTCTCCCTCCTCCGAGATGGCTTCCTTCTGCAGGAGGGGCTCAGCTCCCTGTCCCAGCTCCTACTGCTGGAGATCATTGAGTTTCGGGCTGCCGACTGGAAGATGACGGACGCTGCCCAGAAATACTATTACAGCGAAGTGATGGATTAACCTCCCTACAGCAGAGGCAGAGAGATGTCCCCAGCACTTTCACCAGCAGGCTTCATACCAAGTTTGAATTTCTTTTCACGTTCATGTTTTTCTAGCACTCCTGTAAATAGGATTTATAGGGGCTAGAGCCTCTGGGCACATAACTGTCAGGCCACAACTGGTGCTAGCCTGGCTCTGGAGGTTTGGAGAGGTGGGAAGGGCAGGGCATATTTAACCCAGCAAGTTCTTCCACTGATTTTGTCTAATATTGGGCTGCTGCCAGCAAAGGGCAAGGAAAGCTTCTAGCTCAAACCAGCATTTTATGAGTCTTAAGGAAAGCACAGTTTAGGCTGAGAGCATTTTGGTTTCACCTGAGAGCCAGCGGTGCTGCAGGAGGCAGAGGAGAAATCTTCCACAGCTCAGGTTGTACCTGGTTCTCTGGGACAAGTCACAAAAAACACTGTGGCCTCACGAACAGCTCAACCAAGTGCTGTCTTTCCCAGACTCCTTCCAGCACACTGGCTGCACCTGCATGCACACAGCCTCCCCCACGGGTCACAAGCCACCAATAACTGCCACAGGGCAGCCTGCAGCAGGAAAGGTCGCTGAGCACATGTAGCTAGGAACAGGTTTTATAAGTTTTATACAGCAACTGTCATGTTTTTTCAGAAATTAGCGAGTTTCAACTATGGTATGTTTCTTGTAAGAATGGGAGAGGAAGAAAGGAAACAAAATAGTCTATTGAAGGATTTTTTCTAATAAAAGTTTTCCACTAACATGCGCCCTGCTTTCTCTCTGTGCAGCTGCTGAGCTATGAACAGTACTTAAAAGCTGTTCCTGACTGAAGCCCTAAGGCTGTGATAATCATTTTCTCCTCCGATGCAGGGTGTCAGTTGGCTTTACACAACCAGGGTAGCTGGAAAAAGCAGCGTGAGATTCAAGCAACAGAGACAAAGGTTTGGAATCAAGAAACCTTCCCCGTAAAACTGGTTTTATTATTTCTGTTAAAATTCCCATCAAATCTGTGCAGACAATGCTGCTGATGACCAGAACCAAAAATCAAAAAGGCCCTCTTATTGCCTTTTGTACCAATCATGCTAAGGCTGGTTATGGTGTGGAAAAAAAATCCAGCTCTGCTCTTAGCTGTGCAGCCAAAAACATTGCTGATTACAGGAGCAGAGAGACTTACAAGTCCCCAGGAAACAGGTAAGTGGAAGATTATGTTGTACAGCATTGCTCTAAGAAGAACATCTACGGCTTCTCTTCACAGGAAAGTGATTATGAAATAACTAGAGCATCCATGCAGGGGTCGGTAACTGTTTCAGATTCCCCCTCCCCCTATCCGAACAGGGACAAAAGAAATGAACTTTGCAGGCAGGGATCGCATGAGCTTTCCCTGGCTTAGTTCAGAAGCTGTCTGGAAGGGATCTTCCACCTTTCCCTCTTCTCCCCAGCCTCTCCCAGGCAGGCAGCCCTGGGGCTCTGCTCACCAGGCCGTGGGGGTGGTGGCATCGTGTCCTGTGCACAGAGTCCCTACCACCAGCGGAAGTGGGCGTAAGCCCGGTTGGCCTCTGCCATCTTGTGCAGCACGTGCTTCTTCTTGATGATGGGCCCTTCGTTGTTGAAGGCCTGGAGCAGCTCCTGGGAGAGCTTCTCAGGCATCAGCATCCGACGGTTCTTGTTCTCCCTGCACTCAGTGATTAACCACTTCATGGCCAGGAAGCGCTTCCGATTGTCCTTCAGAGGGACCGGGACCTGGGAAAGGTTTAAACCGTAACAGTTTTTGCACTGCAAGGGTGCAGTAACCTGCTCTTCTCCAGCGGTCATACAGGTACAGCTGGACACATGCAGATTTACACCGTGCTGTGACTCTAGTGGCAGCATGCTGCTCTCCGCAGTAAGACCAGCTCCCAACAGCTGATCTGTGCCAATTCACCTCCTCTGGCCATAGAAACTGGCCATTCCTACCAAAATGGAAATTCTGATCAGCCTTGGATACTGCCAGCAGACGCTGGCCTTTGTAAGGACTTCTGGCCTATTTGGGAACTGGATCCAGGCTGGTTTGTGTAGCAGAAGTGGAAGATGGTCACCACTCCCAGGCACTGAATGAGAGAGACATGCCTCCAAACTTCATTTCTCCATCAGGTCTTGAATGTTGCAGAGCCCATGCTTAAGAGACAGGTTCTGCTCTGTTTCAAATATCGCACTGCACCTAGTTGACTTTTTCTGCTACGCTGACCCTCCCCAGGGCTTTTGGGGCCTCTACCCAAGCAACATGATGCGGCAGAGAGGATGGGACTGGTAGTCCTGGGGCTGCCAATTCTTTTGCTGCCCGTCACTGATCTCTGTCTCCTTGAACAACATTTGCTGCATACTCTTTATCTAGTCAGAGAAGCAGAGACCGCTGCTGACAGGGGAATTAGCATGCTCACAGGCTGGGGGCCTGATCTTGGACAGTTTCTTAGGTGCTGTTTCAATCCAGGTTGCAAAGTGGCTCTCTTTCCAAGGAGAGGAAAGCTTGAGCTGAAGGGGTGGAAACCAGTTCATCTACTTCCCTAGCTAATTCTCTCCCGACCAGATGTGCTCCCAGGCCCCCCCCCCTTTCACCTGGTAGGTTTTGCCTCCTTTTGTGATGCTGCTGAGCCCAATGATGGGCTGGCAGTTTTTCAGAGCCTGGTGGAAAATGACGTAAGGGTTGCATTCAATTGTCTCCTTCTCATCTTCTGGAGCATTGTGGTACTTCTCCAGCTGCTTCCTCTTAATGGCCTCTAGAGTCTTGGGACAAAGACAAGAAACAAGACATGCAAAGCAGATGGATTATCCCACTCCATGAAGTTGCATCACTTTTACAGGCACCCCATTTTCACTTGAGCCTGCAGCTGTTTTTCTAGCCCTGAAGGCAACAGCCCAGTTGGGGATTCTCTTAAGCTTTACTTCATCCTCTTCCAGCTCTTCAGTTTCTTTATTGGACATTGCATTTGGGGCAAGGAGGCTGAGCAACACAGACCTGGGCCAGGAGCCAGGGGAGGGGAGGGGAGGGACAAAGTGGAGACAACAGTACAGGTCTGTGTGCACTAAGCATCATCCCCTCCAAAGCCTGGACTCAAGAGCCCACAGCCCACCTGTTTTTCTGTCACAAGGAATCAGCAGTTACTTGGGGAGCATTTGGGCAACGTGTCCCTGTTTGAAGGGCTGGAACACACCAGATGGGACCACCAGCTAATACCAGTTACTGTATATCAGAGCAGGGGGTCAAAGCTGTGTCATATAGGTGACACATTTGTGGGACTTCATTGGCAAGTTACACAGAAGATAAGGCGTGAAAGAGAGCTGGAAGGAATATCTTTTGAGAAAAATTATGCTTTTAAGGGTATATTCCGAGTTTATGGCTTAGTGGTGGACTTGCTAGGGTTAGGTTAACGGTTGGACTCGATGATCTTAAGGGTCTTTTCTGACCTAAATGAATCTATGATTCTACATAAGGTCCAAGAGATACTGAAGAGTGGAAAGAGAACGTTCTCCATTAAGCTATCACCACCTGGTCTGTGAATTGAATGAGGTTGGGGATTGTATAAAATGTATGTCTGATCAGGTAAATAATGGTGAGAGTATTGTGTGTGCAGAGGGAAATGTGTTAGGACCACAGACATGACCCAAGTTCTGGTAATTCTGAATTCCAGTGGGTTTGACGTCCCAGCCTTCCATTTTGTATTGTTTTAACATAACAGTGAGGAGAAACATGAGTTCTCACCTGAGCCATGAGGCTTCTGGCCAGCACTTTATTTCCATCCTTCATCATCATATTGGTGAATTTACTGTAAATACAAAGCCAAATGCAATCTGATTTAAATTCTGATTTTATCACCCACAGAAATAAGCACCCCCCTCTTTGGGTTGTTCCCATGGTTAAGTCTGGGTGCTGCTGTAATTATCTCTAATCACTGTCAGTCAATGGACTGGCTTTGTGGGAAATTATTAACCCGAAGAAAGGGATTGTGCTGTAACAGAAGGCAACAGGCAGTACAGCAAGTGAAGACTGAGGACAGCAGGGCTCCCAAGCATTTTGGCTCCATGGGACCTAGCTGTAACAGAGGAGGATATGATGCTTTCTCTGACCTGATCATAGGGTCGCTGAACAGAGAGCTGGAGACAGTGGGGGGAGCAGCTTTTATGGGTCGAACAGCCTTAAGCTCTAATTTTTCCTTTTCCTCCTCAGACAGCTCCTCCCAAGGTTTCTGACACAATTCCTTGTTCACTTCTGGCTCTAAGAAATTGGGGTTGTAGCGACTCCATCTCACCTGCGTCAGCCTGCAAAGAACGAGAGAAGAAGAAGAGCTGTAAACTGACGCACGCGATATGTCGTGACGGGGATGTGGACAGAGGTGAACACATCTCAAGACACGTTCGACTTGAGAGGCATCTCCGCCTTCCTCTCCATCGCTGCTTCTCTCACTGCAGCAGAGCCAGCGGCACTAATCAACAACGGTTTTGCTGCAAAACTCCGAGGCAATGCCCACGCCCAAGAGACGGGTCGGGAGGGGAGTCCCAGGCCACAGCTCCAGGTGCTGCACTCGCCCT